ATATATATATATACATACACACACAGTTATATCTATTTTATATATAACCACATATTGCCACCATATATATATACACATACACACATTATAATTTCATTATCTTGGGACTTAAGGACTTGAGGTCCAGAACAGGGAAATCCAGAATTGTGGTCTGTGAGTCGTTGCAGGGGTCAAAAACCATAGAAGAAGAGAAGCGGGAACAGGGCCGAGTCGTGATCCAAAAGATGTGGTCAAAAGAGGAAGGCACGGAGTCAGAAACCATGGGCAGAGAGGCAGACACATCCAAGAGGGTTCAGGCAAGGCGAGGAGTCGTGGAAAGGCAAAAGACAAGATCAGGTACGCTGGATTTCTACTGCTATTGAAGGTTTGAGAATCTGGTGCTGACTAGATGAATGCAGGGAGGTAAAGTAGGGCAGGGTACAGGTGTAATGCATGAGCCTGACTGCAGGGTGAGAATGAGAGTGAGTGACAGGAGCAGGCAAAGCGTGGCAGGAAAAACAACAACATGACGGGCTGTGAGGGACAAATCTATGACACACTTGTGGATTTATCCCCAATCAAGATGGCTGCCACAGCCAACTTGATTGGGAACACTCAAAACTGGGTCTCAGAGAAATTGAGCTAGACGTTGGTGTGGTAGTAGCTGAGCATGGTCACCAACAAATACTTTGAGTGCAACACAGTAGTCCATCCATGTATCGCGGCTTGATTTTTGCGGAAGTTAACTCATGTCTTCTGGACAGATGCTGTCCAGATGACATGAGTTAACTTTTCTTTGTCTCATTTTATGTGCACTATTTTGCAGTTGAGCAAGAAACATTTAAAAGTCATATTAATATAGTTATTTACAGATCATTTAAATATTTGTCTCCAGACAGAAATATGTTTGAAGGTTCCTGATGCATGCTCAATAATCCAGGTAGAAAACTCTAAAAAGGTTAACTCTGGTCCTCTTCTTCAGTCTGACTGAAGAAGTCTTTCGGATGAAAGACAAAATGTTTCTACTTTTTTTTTGTTTGTTTTGCTTTGTTTTGTTTTTTGAATGTCCAGAGGACCAGAGTTAACTTTTTTAGATGTTTGAAGGTTCTTTCTCATTGATTAGGACTTCACTGTCAGGAGAGAAGGCTCAGCTCAGTCAGTGTCTCCAGGATGAGTTTGTCTGTATGTCTGTCTGTAACACGTCTCTCTTGTAAATGAATCCTCGAGGCTCAATAGGAACTAACCTGTATAAATAAAGGTTGAATGAATGAGTTTGTCTAATAACTGACAGGAAAATTAACCGATCACCATGTTGATGTAGAGTAGGTGTGACCAAAACACGACACTTACAGGCCTTCAGGAAAATTTCAAGCCCTTGAGAATATATATTTTTCTTTTTCTTTTGACCATGTCAAAATATGTGATTAATGACTTGCAAATCTGAAAATAAAGGGATGTAATCAAACTGTGACTCAGTCATATCTTCGATGTTAACAAATATTGGATGTTACAATATTACATCCCAACTGAAGGTGTAGCTCTTATAGTCACAGTTTGCCACTAACACAGATCAATAAAGCTCTCTAACAGAATACTAAAAGTGTGGCATTTATTTAATTTGTTTGACTAAACACATAAGTGCAGCATGGTGGCACAGTTGATAGAGCTGTCACCTCTCAGCAAGAAAATTGCTGGTTCAAATCCCAGCCAGGGACCTTTCTAAGTGGAGTTTACCTTTTCTCTCGGTGCATGTGTGGGTTTACAGTATGCAGTTTCCACTCAGACCCAAAACATGCATATTAGGCTAACTGTTAAATTATCCCTAAGTGAAAGTGGGAATGGTTGTTTGTCTCTATGTGTCCCTGTGATGGACTGGAGACCTGTCCAGGATGTCCCCTGCCTCTTGCACAGTAACTGCAGGATATGGGCACCAGCAACACCCGTGACCCTGAAAGGAAGAAGCAGGTAAAGATAATGGATAAACGCACACTGTTATACGGTACCCAAATGTACCTGATTAACTCCTCCCACCACCAAGAGGCGATCTCTGATCACGATGGAAGAGGCGGAGCATCTGGGGAAGTTCATAGGAGCCAACCTCTCCCACTTCTTCTTCTGAGGATGAAAGGCCTCCACTGTGTCCAGAGCTGAGGGTTCGTGGCCTATAGATTGCGCACGCACACACACACACACACACACACACACACACACACACACAC